GAGAGAGAGCCTGAGAAGCCCAGTGCTGGACAAGCCCACTCACAAATGGGGACGGGCCTGCTGAGGTCACACCTGGATCCCGCAGCAAGAATTTCCTGCTGGCCTTGAGGAGGCTTGCTGAAGGTGAATGTGGCAAAAAAACAAAGTACCCCCAGTTCTTTAAAAGAATAAAGTTAATGCTCGGCCGGGCGTGGCTCAGCGGTTGAGTGTGGACCTAGGATCCAGGCGATCGGGGTTCGATTCCCGGTCAGGGCACATGCCCGGTTGCGGGCTTGATCGGTGACTCTCTCATCATTGATGTTTCTGTCTCTCTCTCTCCCTCTCCTTTCCTCTCTCTGAAATCAATAAAGATATATTTAAAAAAAAAAAAAAAAAGAATAAAGTTAAAAATATCAAGTAATTCCATGTCCAAAGCCCAGGACAGAACAGACAGGTCACTGTGGGCATCCATACTCACAGTGGGCAATGACCATGCTCCTCGGGAGTAGGGGCCATGTGGCCATGTGTCTTAATGACCAGTTCCTGTGGTGCCTCAAGTGCCAGGTGCCACATGTAGCAATGCCACAGGATGTGGGTTTGAGAAACAGGACAGCCTCGCTTCTGAGCAGTAGAGTGTGGGCAGGAGTGAGGAGGAGAGAAATGGGTGAGAAAAGATCCATGGGCTCTGGGCACAGTGAGGCCTCAGCTGGCTCCTCCAGGTCCAGGGATGAGCCACAGTGGTGGCCTTGGGCAGACCTCCCCCTGGAGGTCCTCTGATTAGGCTGCACAGACAGGGTGCTCAAAGTCACCCTCGTGGGATCCGCCTGAGGGATCCTCTCCCCAGGCAGGCCCCACAGGCATCTAGAGAAGGCTGGGGTGCGGGCAGGGGGATCTTCTCTATGGGTGGGGAGGCCCTCCCAGGAACCAGAGGGGCGCCCCACTGGGAGGGAAGCCATCATCCTGGTCTTAACCATGCCCGCACCTGCATGGGCCCCCCAGCACAGTGTGGTCTGGTGCTCACGCATCCCTCCAGGGGCAGGCAGAGGCCTCCCCGTTTCAGACCCTTCAGGATGGCCAGGTCCCCATCGTCTGAGGTCCACAGGAGCCCAGAAGGAACCAATCACCACTGCAGCCCTGGAAGCCCCAGAAGCGCCTCCCCTCATTCTGGAATCTAGCGCAAAGGGGAGCAGGAGCTTCAGAACTGGGTCTCTGCTTACGCTGAGCTAATGGCATTATGGCGCAATATAATATTTACCAAGAAGTTTCATTTCATCACTTAGTGTCCTAGCCAGTTTGGCCCATTTACTTAAAACAAAAAAGAAAGAAAGAGAGAAAGGAAGGAAGGGAGGGTGGTTAAAACAGCCAGTAAATGTGTGGGATTCAGGGGTGTGCTGGATCAGCTCAAACTTTTGGAGGCTTCCTGAAATCTCAGAGCACCCAGCACACTTGGCAAAGTGGGAGCAGAAGAGGCCTTTTAGTGCCAACTGTAGCTTTTTCATCCAAACTCACACAAATTCTTCCTCTCTGTTTGTGACCTATATAATTCCCCTTCCCTTCCAGGAAAAGTTGCACCCAAAGACTTATAAGAAATCCCTCCCAAGGGTTAAGGCCAAGGCACCACCCACTGGCGTTCCAGGATGTCTGTGCCCCGGAGGTTCCTCCTTGGCTCAGACTAATCTCAGAAGAGGCAACGGGGGACGCTCCCAGGAACCAAGGAGGCTTTGTTCTGCCTCTGGGGCCGAGAGGAGCAGAGGTCAGGGGTGTGGGGAGCAGGGGACTCGCCCTGACAATAAGAGCCTTCTAAGGGCACTGACCCTCACACACCCTTCAGCCAGCAATTCCACTTCTAGGCTTGTGTCCAGAAATCCCTGAGGTCCATGCACTGCACTACCCCAGGCACCAGTATCTAACAGAGAAAATCAGGGTCCACCCACACGTCCACCCACAGCATGGGGGACCCTCCACACGGCCACAGCATCATGAGGGGCATGAGCACACTCACGTGCAGAGAGCAGCAGAGCCCTGAAGCAGGGGCTAGGATCACTGTCCTTGTTTCAGGGAGGACACTGAGGCGCCACCTCCCCTGGTTACACCCCCTGCCCAGGCCAGCCAGCCCAAAGCTGCCAGCTGAGACAGACGGGCAGCCCGCTCCTGCAGACAGGAGCCTCCAGCTCCACCCTCACACCCAGCGGCCTCTGCAGGGGATGACCGGACCCTCCGGCTTTGTTTCCCTGCCCATCAGATGGGGGGACAAGACCCGAGATTTCTAAAGGGCTGTTTCTCACGCCCACACTCAGCTGAGCCAACGCCTTACCTGTGTGGTTTGAAAACTGGACAGAGTTCACAGCGTCGATCTCAAACCCCAAAACCTGCAAGACAGACAGAGAAGGACCAGGTGTGAGAGACCCAGCAGGCGGGCTCGCAATGACCCACAGTGGGTGCCCAACCCCAGTGGGGGGGCAGCCTGGAGGAGGGGAGCCAAGGCATGCCAGGCCGCCGGCCACCAGCTGGCACTCAATGCCTCTAGATCACTTCTGGAAATCCCACCTAGGGGAGCTTGCAGAGAAACCCCTGCGGCATCTGCCTGTTCAGCCCCCGAAAGAGGGCTGTGAGGCGGCAAAGCCAAGGGCTCCCACTCCCTCCCCAGGAGGCTGGCTTGCAGCCCCCGCCAGCACTGTTAGCGGGGGAGAAAGAAGGCTCCCAGACCGGGGCTGAGGGTCCTCTGAGAACAGTCACAGCCACAGACCTGTGCATTGACCATGGAGGGATCTCACACTGGTCCTGGTCCTGGCATGGGGCCCTCTGGCCACCAGGGCTCAGCTGCCTCAGGGGCCAGGAGGAGCATTTCTGAAGGGGGAAGGGGCTCGGTAGCCATGGAAATCACAACACAACTTCTGTAAGGTGGTTTATTTATAGCACACAGAGCAGGTGACTGCACTAAAGTTAAGCTACCAGTGAGTTCACAGCTAAGTTCATAAAAGGTAGGAGCTCTTTTTTTCTTCATTGATTTTGAGAGAGAGAGAGAGGCAGGGAGAGAGAGAAACCCCCATCTGCCGACCGGCCCACCCATGCATTCATGGCTGATTCTTACACGTGCCCTGACCAGAGATCGAACCCGCACCCTTGGCGAGCCCAGACGATGCTCTGAGCAACTGAGCTACCCGGCCAGGGCGGGAGCTCTTTTTAAGGAAAGAGAAGGTGCGTCTAACTGGCCCGGACAGCTACACAAGCCAACGCTGACAGCTGTTCGCCCGAGACATGGCGAGTCTGGGGGTGATCTCTCCTGTTGCAGATCTTGACACAGGGCAGGGTTTGATGAGGTCGTGCTGATCTGACCCACACACCGCACGTATTGCCTCGTGTCCACACCACATGAATTTCCTTTCCTCCCTCGCTCCCTGCTCTAGACCCCAGAATGGCCCCCAGCCCACCCCAGAGGGCACCCACCAGGAAGTTCACTGCTGAGGGCCACCACCTGAGACCCCACCCCAATAAGCCACATACAAGCAGTGGGAAGCCAGAAGCCACCCAGGGAAGCGTGAAGTCAGTGGCCCTGCCCAGGATGAGTTGGGGACATGCCCATGAGCTCAGCTCTGATTCAGGAGACGTGGCTGACCAGGCCGGTGAATAAGGGACAGAGAGGCGAGGGGCATGAAACCCTCTAAAGCAACTCCAGGACTTGCGGCTGATCCGGCCCACATGCCGGTAACCGGACACGTCAGCGCCCACGGGGCCGCGGTAAGAAGTGGGCCCGTCACCTGTCCAACCTCCCAGAGAGACGGAGCGAGAGCGCGCGTGAGAAAGACAGGTAAAAGCAGGGCCCGAGAGACAGTGCGAGACAGAGAGACAGTGAGAGACAGAGAGAGAGTGTATATGGAAGAAAAGACAGACAGACAGGACAGAAATGCAGGGACGCGCCTAGCCCCAGGGGCCTCCGTCCCTCCACCCGACATTTTGCTCTGGCCGCCCGCCTTCTGTGCACCAACTTCCACACGCTCTTCTCCCCCTTCACCTGAACTGCCTCCAAGTCTCACCTCAACGTTCAAAACAGACAATCTCTGGTGCTGGCAATCGGGAGAGAGGCTGCCTAGGGGAAGGTGGTGGTAGTGACAGGGAGGGGACCACTGTGTGCTGCTCACTGTCCATTTCTTCACGTGGGTGGAGGTTCACTTGAATTCACTGAGCTACATGCTTAAGACTTGTCTTTTAAAAAAATGTTTTTATTGATTTTAGAGAGAGAGGAAGGGAGAGGGGGAGAGGAACATTGATGCAAGAGAGAAACATTGACAGGCCGCCTCCTGTAAGCACTGTGACTGGGGATCGAACCTACAACCTGGGCACGTGCCCTGACCGGGAATTGGACCAGCGCCCTCTAGGTGCATGGGACAACGCTCAACCAGCTGAGCCACACAGGCCAGAGCCAGGATTTGTCTTTTTAAACACTTTAAGCTGGTATTATCAAAACTTAAAGTAATAAACAATCAAGTCTTATTAAAGTAAAAAGTTAAAATTGGAGGCCTGACTTCATGGCCTCCTGGACACAGATTGCAGCATTTCGAATCCATCAAAATTCTAATCAACTCTGAAGAAGCAGATTTGAAGCTACGAGGAAACCGATCCTGAAAATCCTGCCAAAAATACGTTCTCCACTGCTTCTGGCTGCGGATGATTAATCTCTCGGAGCTGGCAAACGTGAAGTCACTATTTTCTGCTTAGAAATGACGGACAGCGCTAAGCCCCTGGCTGCCATCTCCATTTCAGGTGCCACAAGGGACCTGGGCGCGTTAACCAGGATCGCAAGCTTGTCTGAAGGCACCTATCGAAGCCCATGTGCAGGGCTGAGCCAGACCTAGAAGAAAGTCAGCACAGAGGCCTGACCTGCAAGATGAAGCCCTTGGGCCCCAGAGAAAGGGCCTCCTGTTGTTCAAGTCCAGACTTCAGCTCAAACCCACCCTTTGTGCTGGGCCCTGTGGTGATGGGCTTCTACTCTGGAACTCACACCCAGCTCAGCCAGCGGCTTCTACTGGGCACTGCCAACAAGGGGAGCGAGACAGGGGGAGGGAAGGGCTGTGCCCCAGCAGCTCTCTGCCCCCGCCCTCTGGCAGTGACAGCCACACTGTGGTGTTCCGTCATTCCCAGCACAGCACGCCTCATCCCCTGCCCCGCACACCCCCTTCTCCCCGCTTTCAGTTCCAGCCACCAACCTCCTCTCTTTGATCCTAAGTCAGCTGCTTCTTGCGGGTGTTGGGCTACTGGCGGGGGGCCTCCCACACAGTACCTGCGTTGCCCTTTTCCCTTCTCTGTTCTCCCGATGACAACAGTCTCTATCAAATTCTATTAAATCCCAGCCTGCTCCACCTAGCCTTCCCTCACCCCCAGGGGAGCCAGAGACAGACACACACACACACACACACCCCCCCAGGGAGCCAGAGACAGACACACGCACACCCCAGGGGAACCAGAGACAGACACACAGACACACACACACCCCGGGGAGCCAGAGACAGACACCCCCCC